TCAGGTACATACAGATCCACTTTCATTCTTTTGTTTGCTATATCATGTTCCATAGTTTGTTCATTTCGTAGTTTTTTTACCCACTCACTATTGATGGATGTTTACGATGTTTCCAGTTTTCCAGTTTTGCAAACAATGCTGCAAATAAATATTTTTGTGCATCCCTCCTTGATCCAAGGAGGAGAAAGAGAGAAATAGACTTGCTAGACATGTGATTTCACAGTAGCTTTATCATTTTATATCAGCAACGCATGAAAGTTTCCAATTTTCCAAAAGCCCTTCATCACTTGATATTGTCAGATCAAAACTTTTTTTCAATATGATGAATGAGAAATGATATCTTAATTACAAGTAAGTTTGAGCATCGTTTACATCTTTTCATATGTTTGTTAGTCGTTTTACATTTCTGTTACATTCATGATCCTTTGTTGGGATTTCCTTGGGGCTTATTTGGCTTTTTCTTATTTATAGGAATCTCATATATATTTCCTCTTGTATTCTTGATACCAACCTCTTCTGTTGTATATGTTATAAATCTCTTTCATTTGGAGCTTTCTGATCCTGGTGTTGCTACTGGCTCTGTGATTTGGGGGACATCGTTTGACCTCCACAGAACCACTTTTCTTCATTGTAAAGTGAGAATACACTACCTGTTAGTTATTAAGTTATTGACAAATGCCAATGAAAGAATGTATGAGCTCTGTGATTTTCGGGTTCCTCATTTGATTTCTGCCAGCCATTTTCTCAGCTGTAAAGTGAGAATACATTGCCTTTTAGGTTGATTGTGTAGTGTCAATGAAAAAGTGTATGGAAATGCTTTGGAGAGTAAAGAATACCTTCAAATGTAAGGCATTTTGTCCTTTCTTTGGTTTTATTATTACTCATCCCTAGGAGTTGGCTTTTGTGAAGTATCTCAGATCTGCACAGATTGATCAAACTCTGAGGGATGGGTGTTACAACATAGCACTTGTCTTTTTATTTGACACTCTCTTGGGGGAGGAAAGAAGTTCGTAAGCAAGATATGCTCGCATTGAACTTCTGTGTTCTTGGAATGCACTGGGGGATGGAGGTGGAGAGGAGCAGCATGAGGAGAATCCCACTTCTTTGCCACCCCCAGTGCTTGCCCCAAGGACTGACATAGTAGAATCTGGCCACTTACGGAAACTAATGTCTGCAAGGTTAGAGTTAGCCTGCTTTTTGTTTCTATCCTAGTCCACTTCTCAGTTAGAGTGCAGGTTTCAGAGGCAGCTGTCCTATTCTACCACAGTAGGGAAGTACGAGGGTACAATCTCCTGCTCTAGTTCCCTTTTGACTGACGACTGGGTTCTGCCAACAAATTAACTAAAACATGATACCACCTTATGGTTTGGGAACACTCATACTCAAATACCACCTTAGATCTAGACAGCCCTGTGCCCCTGCCCAATGTACCATGCTTTAGGGGACCCTTCCTTTGCCCGTGTCCATCCCATTCTAGAACAATCTCTAAGTACGCAGGACCCAAGAATTACCAGACGAAATGTCCTGAACCTGCTTCCAGGGCCTGCAGAGCCTGTTTCTGAGTCCATCCTCCCAAAGATGGATCAAGCCATTAGACTCCACCTCTGATATGTGCGTTCCTAGGTCCCAGGTGTGGCCAAGGGCGACCACTGAGAGGGATGTTCCCAGAGCTTGAGTGCACTAACTTGAACCCCCGTGTACAAAGGCCCCTTGAGGTACAGGAAGGGACTGGGATGTGGGAAAGGAAAGGAGGTGGATTTGGGGCCAGGGTCCTCCATTTCTACTCTTGCCCCAGCCCTGCAGTTGTCAGGGGCAAGTCTACCCAGAGGAGCCTGTCCCTTGTGACCCACTGCTTATTTTATGGGTAAAAAAAAAAAAAAGCCATCGAGAGAGGTTTTCTTCACCACCCATTTAGAGGCTAAGCATTTCTGGCTCAATATAGACCCCAATTAATCTTTTTTTTTCTCTTAAACATTGGCACCTGAGCTAACAACTGTTGCCAATCTTTTTTTTTTTTTTTGCTTTCTCCCCAAATCCCCCCAGTACATAGTTGTATATTTTTGTTGTGGGTCCTTCTAGTTGTGGCATGTGGGATGCTGCCTCACCATGGCCTGATGAGCCATGTCCTGTCCATGCCCAGGATCCGAACCAGTGAAACCCTGGGCCGCTGAAGCAGAGTGCGCGAACGTAACCACTCGGCCACGGGGCCGGCCCCCTCCCCCCAATTAATCTTGAGAATAGGGGCTGGCCCAGTGGCACAGCGGTTAAGTTCACACATTCTGCTTCTCAGCAGCCTGGGGTTCGCCGGTTCGGATCCCAGGTGCGGACATGGCACCACTTAGCAAAAGCCATGCTGTGGTAGGCATCCCACGTATAAAGTAGAGGAAGATGGGCATGGATGTTAGCTCAGGGCCAGTTTTCCTCAGCAAAAGCAGGAGGATTGGCAGTAGTTAGCTCAGGGCTAATAGTCCTCAAAAAAAAAAAAAAATCTTGAGAATAATTCTCAAAGAGAGTCAGGTGTGGAGGTGGAATGGGTGAATTTCCTGAAGGGAGCCTCTTTCTGCCTCTCTCCTGTCTCTCCCCTAGGGTAGGCAGTGCTGCTGATGCTTTGTGAAAAGGCGGAGGGATTCTGCTGACGTGCTGTATTTTTATGAAAGCAGGCTAAGGATTCCCTTATCGCTGCACACAAGGCACATCTGCCTGCAAACAGGCTTTCTGCTTCTTAGGGATTCTTTCGTTGTCCTGTTTCTTTGCTGAATGTTTCAAGGCACAGTTTGGTGCATTCCTTTCTGTTCTCTAGAGCCGGGGGAAAGTCAGGATATATCAGGGCTCTTGCTGAAAAGCTTAAAATGGGCTCTGGCAGCTGGGATGTGGGGGAAGAGAGCTTTCCAGGGACAAGTGACCTGCTTGTTCAGCCAATGAGAAGCAGTTTATAGGACTGATATCACCAGACAGGCTTCATTGTCTGATCATCTCAAAAGCAGGATCATGTCTGGCCACTTAACCCTTTTTTAGGTACTTCGGGTCTCACCCAGTCCCTGGTATGTGACCTCCAGATTGCTTTTCCCGACTGTCTGCTGTGAGACCACAGAGATCAAACATTTAAATTGGTGAAGAAATTTGGAGAATTGTAAGCCATCATTTCAGAAATACAAATTATTAGAATTCAGGACCACAGCTAGAATGGGAACGTCGACTAAGCTGTGTTGGGGAGCACGTCTAAAGAGGGCGTTAGTCTCAGTCATGCTGCGGCTGAGCTTTGCTGTAGAGACTTGGGAGAGAGGAAGTTAGAGGGGAAAAGATTGAGCTTTTAGTCTATTTTAATCTATATGGTGGGGTCTTACTAAGTACTTCCTGTTTTGGTGGAATTAGAATTGGTTCTGCAAATTTAGAAAATATCGCTGATTCTGGGGCCTATTTCAAGTACCAGTTATCTGTAGTGTTTGTTTATATTGTACTTCTTTATTGTCCTTTCCTCAGTAAAAACGACAGTCATTTTACTCCTTCACACTTCTTTTTTGTCACTGGTAAAATGAGGGTGGTGATGCTACCCCGTCACACAGAGGAATTGATACAAGGAAATAAGCTAATTCATGTAATTTTAGATTGTGCTACACGCACGTATTATTATTAGGGCATTCCTATCTTAAGATTGCATGTTCATTTGTTCAGCAGACCTTTTCAAATACCTTCTTGATGCTGGGCACAGATAACAGAGATAGAAGACGTGGTTCTTATCCTTAAGGAATTTAAAACATTGTGAGAGAGTCAGACAATAATAATAAAAATGCCTCCTACATTTATTGTGTTTATCATGTGCCAGGCCGTCTTCTAAGCACTGTGACATATATTAGCTCATTTAATCTTACCTTAATCCTATGAAATAGGCAACGTTATTAGCTTGATATTACAGATAAAGAAATTGAGGCACAGAGAGGCTAAGTGACTTGCCTAAGGTCACACAGATAGTGCTAGAGTTGGGACTTGAATTCAGGGAGTGTGGCTTTAGAGTCTGTGCTATAAATCTGTGCTGACCAATACAGTAGTCACTAACAATATATGGCTTTGGAGCACTTGAAGTGTGGCTAGTGCAAATTGAATTGGGCTGTAAGTGTGAAATACTTTATATTTTTACTTTATGTATTTTTTTACATGTTGCAGTGATAATATTTTGGATATAGTAAGTTAAGTAAAATATATTAAAATTAATTTTGCTTTATTTTTGTGGCCACTAGAAAACTTAATATGTGGCTTGCATTTGTGGCTATTGGCCTTTGCTACTCTAAATCATTACAATGCAGTAACAGCAACAATAGTAATAGCCTAGATGACATTTATTGAGTACTTGCTGTGTGCTGCATACTGTGCTAATTCCTTTACAAACCCTCAAAATCAAACTATGTATTATCTCCATTTTATAGAAGGAGGACAAGGTTTTAAGAAAGTCAGTGATTGCCTAGGGTTGTCAACTAGTTAATGACACAGACCCCAAATTTGAAACCTTATGTGTCTGACTCAAAAACCTGTACTCAGCCAGCACACTGTAATGCTATTTCCAGTTAAATCTCTGGGAGTTTTCTTTATTTTTATTTTTATAAGGATATTTGATGTTGCATACTTCTGTATTTGCTATGTAGAAGTTCAAAATAAAAATCAGCAGGTCATAAAATAGACATCCCAGATGGAAATCTCTTCTGCAGAGCCTCGGTCCTCAGTGAACACTGGCACAGTTGAGCCCTGAGAAGAAACTGAGTCAGCCTGTACAAATTGCATTTAATTTTCATTCCAATAGTTTTGTCAGGTCAGTGGGCAATTTATATCCTGACCCTCTTTGTCCATAGAGAAGAGAAAGAGAGGCAACACAGCCTTCCTTAGTCATTTAGTTCTCTTGGTTGATTAGAGGAAAAAATTGCTTTCCATTTCATTGTCCCATGAAATGCTGTTTGTGTTCGAGAGCAATAAAATGCTGTCTAATGACCTCTGACTTTTCTTTCTTCTAGAGCAAAGACTCAGGCGGGCTGAAGGCAGCTATGATTGAGTTGGTGGAAAGGTTAAAGTTCAAGAGCTCAGACCCTAAAGTAAGTATTGTTTTGGAATTGACTGGGTGTTGGTACCCCCAAGTATTTCATTCTCCTTGAGCTAAGTTTGAGGAATGTTACTGATCATCCAGCTGAACATTGCGTCAAGATCTAATTAAGCCTGCCCATCAAAAGTAGTGTTCTACTATGCCTAGAGATAACTCATCTATTTTTCCCCTTCTCTGTTTTATGACTTACAACACATAATCATTAATTGTTTTCCTGAACTGCAGACAAGTGCATTTTTAATCTTCCTTTACCAGGCCTTTGAGACTGCTGTCCTCTGTGTCCATTAAATCCAGCCATTAAAGGCATCTGAGACACTGATCAGCTTAATGCTGGGGCCTGGAACAGGCTCCAGACACATCCACTGGATGTTCAGTAGTGCTTGTCTCTGTCCCACTTACAGCAGCCAGCTGCCACTAGGAATGCTTTTGTCCTCATGACCTGGAGTCTGGTCTGGGAACTGGTTTAAGCTTCCCAGCTTTCTTTGCAAGATGTTGGGGGCTGTAGGATTGATCTTCAAGGTGGAGGTGGACTGGGAACTGAACATGCCGGAGAGAGTATGACTAACACAGTCTTCCTTCTCCTACCCAGACACTTACTGTGGCACTACTTGGTGTTGGTGCCAACTGGCTTTACCTGAGCATCAAAGCCTCTTGCAATTAAATAGGGAAAGGAGCATGATTTTTACTTTTTTTCAATTTGAAGTTTTTATAAGGAGAGTAAGACTAGCATTTCTTAAGCACCTACTGAGAGCTAGGCACTGTGCCAGGAACCTTACATACCTTTTTAAAAAGTTGTGGTAAAATATACATAATGAAATTTACTTTGTGTGTGTGTGGAAGATTCATCCTGAGCTAACATCTGTTGCCAATCTTCCTCTTTTTTTTTTCACTTGAGGAAAATTAGCCGTGAGCTAACATCTGTGCCAGTCTTCCTCTATTTTGTATGTGAGATGCCTCCACAGCATGGCTGATGACTAGAGTTGGTCCGTGCCCAGGATCTGAACCCGTGAACCTGGACCGCCAAAGTGGAGCACATGGAACTTGAACCGCTTGGCCACAGGGCCAGCCCCCTGAAATTTACCATTTTAAGTATTTTTAAAGGCACAGTTCACTGGCATTAAGTACATTCACATTGTTGTGCAAACATCACCGCCATCCATGTCCAGAACTGTTTCATCATCCCAAACTGAAACTGTGTCCCCATTAAACACTAACTCCTTGTTCCCCGTCCTCTTGCATACTTGGGATTGTTGAACAACTGTGTGCAATAGCTTATTATTTCCACTTTATTGGTAAGGACGCTGAGGCTTGGAGTGGTAGGGCTGTCCGCCCCAAATCTAGTATGAGCTAGAGCTGGCTTCAAGCTCTGACTCCACTGCCTCTGCTCGCTCTTTTGTATCCCACTGCAGACCGAGCGCTGGTTTCCTCTCCTTGCCCCCTTTCTGTAATCACACTGTGCCTTTGTTTTCTGATCTGAAACACTATATGAGGCAGAGCCCCAGACAGTGACGGGCTCTTCAGAAGGTGGCTGCCCTCACCAACCTACAAAATGATCTTCTCCTCATACAACTTTGAAAGTATTGGGACACTGGTGTAGTTAGGGTTCCATAGGTAGAGAGTATCTTGATAGAAAAAATTGGGGTAATCTTTGTCAATTTTCTGAGCTCAAGTAGAAAGACATCTGGTGTAAGTAGTTTTCTTTAGTGCAGATGAACCAATTAATTATTAAAGGTTACTGAAAGCTTCTTTTTACCGAGTTTCTCTGGTTTCTGGGACAACAGCTATCCTGAAGGAGACAGCTGTATTTTCTGTTTCTGCCGCATCCATGTACTGGTAGGCAGGGGAGAGCAAGAGGATGTGTGCAAATTGCTCTGAGTGGCTTCTGTGCATGATGATAATACAGGTAGAGAGCTTTGGGATCCTTTATGAGTTCATACAGTTCTTCTAATGGGAAACTTGCCATAGGTGACAGAATTGAGTGGTCCCATGAGAGCAACCTGTGGAAGCCTCAGGATTTTCCCGTGATGCGTCATGAGCTAAAGGCTATTTGTTAGGACCTGACTTGGTCTTGGATATGTGTATACATAGTCACCTCTTTTTTATCTTCTCTTCATCTTGCCCTGGATTATTTCCCACCAATCTATTTTATTTTTAAGCCCCTTTCTGATCTATCATGTGCATATGCTGTATCTACCTGAAGCCAGCTTGAAAAAGGACCAACATAATTGCAGGATGACTGCCAGATCACAAAGTAGGGGTGAAAAATGGGACACTTAAATACATAATTTCTGCAACAAAGAAAATTTTCCTGGAAATAAATTGGTGTCTTCCAAGAGAATCCTTAAGTTTTTAGTCTGTTCTGTTTTCCCTCAAACCCCACAATGGTTTTTTTTAGGTTAGCCTCTTTAAGAAGGGCAGAATCTCTCAGGCCCTGACCTGTCATCTCCTGGCACAGCAGCTTTACATAGAAGCACTGATTGAGTCAGGGAGCACTGAGCACTCTCTGCCTCACTTCCTCCAGAACTCCCTAAAGCGTCCCAAGCTTGATTAGTCCAGACACTGAAGTCTGCTGGGGACTGGGTTAATTTTTACCTCGTGAGTTTTTTTTTTTTACCTCGTGAGTTTTGCCAGAGAGGAGTGGAAGATGCCTAGATTAACCATTTTTTTAATTATAAAATAATATATGCTTATAAATTAAAAAGTACAGATATCCATAAAGGAAAAATAAGATGAATTTCCCCTGAGTTAACCATTATTAACAGTTTGTGGTGTATAACCTTCTAGACGTTTTTCCATGTGGAAATATACTTCTAAGATTTTTTACAAAAACTATACTATACCTATAGTTTTATTAGATAGAATATCTTAGACATTCTTCTGTGTCAGTAATATAGACTTAATTCTTCTCAATGAGATGCCTCATTTTGTCCAAAATACTTGACAGACACCCTGTTTTCTTCCCGACTGGTGGCTCATAAACTTTAATGTGCATGAAAACCTCCTGGAGGACGTATTAAAGCACCGAGTGCTGGGCCCACCTGCAGAGTCTCATCCAGTGGGTCTCGGGTAACTGGAGACTGGGCTGCACCTTGGCTATTTTCCTTCTCTCTTGTTTTGATTTTTTTTCATTCCTTTCAGCAAATAGCCAGAAGAGCCCTTGTGAATAAGTCCAAGTGATTTCAACTTTAAAAAAAATGGAATACACAAAAATCCAGGCTCAGAAAACAACTAAATGGAGCTGAGGTAGCAGAGGATTAGGGGAGGGAATGGGGAGTTGGACTGAGGAGTCAGCTCAGGCTGCCTGAGAGGACAGGATTCCTTTAAAACCATCATGTCTAGCAAGAAGTAATGAAGCCAAGAAGAGGAAAGGGAGTCCTGGTCAAGATTTAGGAGGATGATCAAGGCCTGTGCCGTGGTCTAGGAGTGGGCTGAGTTCTAAAACCAGAAGACCAGCAGAAGACGTTAACTCGCAGCCACCAGAGGTGAGCCTGAGGACAGGACTCAGAGCCAGTGGTGGTTGGTAAATAAGGCTCAGACCCAGACGAAGTTGTGTGCATGCATGTTGCTATGGTGAGCCTTATTTTAAAGGATGCATACCTCCAGGGATCTAGAACTTTGTGTATAGTGGGAAGAGATTATTTTTAATGCCAAACAATCTTTAGTTTAATTGGAAGTGGTCTTTTAAATAATAAGACATCCTAATGTGTTTGACATGATCCAGTTTACAGACAATTTTTTTCAGCCAAACTTTTCAGAAACATCTATTGCACAAAGCAGGATTTTTGTAGATTTCTTATATTTATGCTGGACTTTGGGGAAATCTAAAAGATGTTGTTAATCAAGCGTGTGTGTGTGTGTCTGTCTCTCTCTCTCTCTGTCTGTCTGTCCGTCCCTGTCCATCTGAGTCCATCTATAACGGGATTTTTAGGAAATTTAGTGTTCTGAGTTCTTTACAGCTTTCCTTTGTTCACAGTTTACCCGAGGAATCTGAAGCTTAGAAAACACATGGTTTCCCTTCCCTTCCTTCCCCTGCCCAGTCTCTCAGAGAGCATTGAACCAGAAGCAAAACATACTCAGCTCAGTCAAACCAACCCCTTGTTATGCAGTTAATATCAGCCACGTTCTCTAGTATATATCGATTGCTTTTCTTTCCACCTAAGATGTGGTGTTCATTGTTTCCTGTAGCTGGCATGCTTGAAACAGTTAAAAACACAGTTGTGTATCTCAAATATTAAACTTATAAGAAGTTATTCTCAATAAAAAGTGTCTTAAACTTGAATCAGGTGGCTCACATTATCTGTCTAACTGAAGTGGGATTAAACATGCAATCTAGTCACACTAAGACTGCCTAAAATGTATCAGGTTTTTCTTCTTCTTTTCTCCAATCTCTAACGGTGTTCTTACTGAGTTGTGAGACCAAAGAGTTGTCTAGCAACATGAAATTAGTTAAAAAGATCTGAAGATGGTTTTCTTATTTTATTTTAATCTAGCATTTAATTTAATAATAATTACACATTTAATTTAATAATTGCGAGAGAACTTTACAGTCATTTTTGATAGCTGATATCATTGACGTGGAACACAGCCCAGTCCTTCAATCTCTTGTGCTAATCAGACTCTTGTTAAAATGATAGCTTTTGCATGTACAAATAGTAATGGATATAAGCAAAACCTAACTTGAATTCTTCTTGTTAATGTCCTTTTATTCACCAGGGTCAAGGACCTCATGGTGGTCCTTGCCCTGCCCCAAGACAGACGTATTCACAGGGCCAGTGTTTATTTAACCAACTGAAGCAGAGAATTGAGATGCATCAGTTATCAAGTTGATTCATTCAAAAAGTGTTCCTTTGGGTAAAGGGTTATTAGAATTATTGACCTATTTCTCTGCTTTTCACTTAAAAAGTTGTAAGTAGTAATCTTGGAGGGTATGACTTGTTTATTTTATCTCTGTATCCTCAAGCTCTATTAGCATGGTACCTGGCGGGTAATAAT